AAGAATATATAAAAGTCAAAGATATTCTGGAAGTTACAAAACAAATGCAGGAAATGGAGATAAGGAAGAATGTGCGTCACTTATCTAAATTTAGTTCTCAGAATGCCAAGTTCAAATCTAATTCTCAAGGGATGGAACGAATGACCATTTGTGCGACAAGAAGCAAACCCCACTATGGACAAAGTTACACAAATCGACACGAAGAAAGGAAAAAGAGGTTACCTTGCATTTTCTGCGATGGCAATCATTGGAATGACGAATGTGATATATATCCGACTGTGAAAGAAAGACTGGAAAAGTTGAAGAAATTGGGACTTTGCGAACTATGTATGAGAAAAGATCACTCACAACAGACTTGTGCGCGGAAATTGAAATGCTTTCACTGCGGATCTGAACATAATAGCGCTCTCTGTAACACTTTCACTGCGGATCTGAACATAATAGCGCTCTCTGTTCAAGAACTCCTAGTTATTATCGCGGACAAGAAAGAATCTGCGACAAATGTGAATAATTTGCTTTTATGATCCCTTTTTGGATGATAAGGAATGAAGGACAAAACATTTGCGGACTAAAACTCCACAATAAAATATTAGTGGAATAAAATATTTTCCAGAAACAAACACTTAGGAAACTGCACATTCGTCTAGTTAACTATTCAATTATCTTGTAGCAAAAGATATAACTTTTTCTCCATTTTTTGTTCAATGTAGAATTTAAAATTTCAGTTTTCCATCTAGCATTTAACTATTCAAGTATTATTTAACTTATTTTTTAAAGCAGTAGGTTTCGTTTTACTTCTCAACATGCGGTAATACTATATGACCCAACAGGAAGCTTCGTTTTGCTGATACTAACGATGGATTAGTGAAGAATAGAAAGCCCCAATTGCTAAAGAGACCCTGTGTAAATCAGTATGAAATTTCCATCTACTGCGAACAAAGTCTTCATTAAACTACTTCAACAAAGTAATAAAAAGTGATACTAACTTCCGGCAGCATCCTGAAATTTGGATCTGAATTAACAGCGCCAACATACGCGGCTAATTGCATTGGATCATTGTACATTTTTTCAATCCCCGTGCAGGTATCTTTCGATGAACCTGATGAAGCCGTTTTCCAATCCATCAAAAACAGAGCATCTCTAAACACAACAGCATCTAAATATCATTGCTTGACAAAATTTTTTTAGCTTAAAAAACATTTGTATAAACTCTTGTATCAAATCAATTGAAAAATTTATACGCTTTTCCGTAAATGAAAACGTTTACATTTCTTTAGCTTCAAAAATTTTCAAATTTAAACAGCAGACAAATTGAATATTTATGTGATACATGTTTTGAATTCGGATGTGCTAGCACGGTTGATAACGGCAGTGAGCAAACGGAAGAATTTTTGAATTTTTGTTCAATTAAGAATTAGTTAGAACAAACTTATAGGTAACAGCAGCATCAAATCGTCCGCTATAGCAAAGACCATGATGTCTAGTGGGTCTTTCTAGCTCCATGTTTTTGTCGCCAAGTGTGCGCAAAACAGGTAGTACACTAGTTAAATAGCTTGCAACAGAACTGTCGACCTGAAATGAAAGTAAAAGCATAGAATCATTTATAAAAAGGCCATGGAAAAAAAGTTGCACTAACAGCATAAAATCACTTGTAAAAAGTCTACTTCGGAAGTTATTTGATCAGCAACATCATCAGGAAAACTTCCTCGCTTTCGAAGCTCTTCCAAAATTTTTTGTATGCAGCTGTGATATTGCGTGCCTGACTGCATTCGTACTGGAAACAGTTAGATGAAATTAAGAAATGATAATAAGAATGGAAATGCAACACTTCTCTGGAAATATGATTAACGAATATCCCGTTAGTCCAATGAATTTAATCGTCTTAAAATTCAGATAATATTTTTTGTGAAGTATGTGCTATTTGAAAACAAATGGCTAGCAAAATATCTGCTTCTTGAAGAACATAAGGTGATTGTTTGAGAAATCGGAAGTCAGCTGATACACTCATTTTTAAAGCATATATGTCTTAATGAATTCAATGAGTGACTTTTTTTTATAGGAAATTTCGAATCAAGATAAGATGTTTACTTACACTAAAATTCTTTCAAGAAAATATCACCCGACTGGATAACAACAAGACTAACCTCTCACATATTTCTTGAAGGCACCTATACCACCCAACTGTTTGATCATTTTTAATTGCCACTGATAGAGCAAACGCTGTGAAGTTGTACATCCCAGAATGGCTGAAACTGATGGGTATCGACCATCCTCCACATTTGCTATGTTTTCTAGAAATTGATCGGTTTTCTGAAATTTGTGAAACAATTTAGTTGAAATCATGTAAAATCTTTTCGGTTCAATTCAAAAGTTAAACTGAAATTCTTGAAAACTTTATTTGGAGAACATTCGAGAAGTTCAGCTCATATGTTGACCTACTGATTTAACTACTCAGTATCCACTATTATCTACAGAAAAAAAAAATTCATAATTTGATAAAATTTGAGATGAAACAAATCAAGTCTTTCATAAGAAGGATAAAAATAAGCAAATCAATTAGTTCTAAAATTACTATTCGTAATTTCTTCTGATAAGAAAAAAGAAACTTGCAAGGTATGATAATTTCTGCTTCTGCTGCGTAGACAATACTGTTGGAGGAGAAACAAGAAATTCTTTCGTTGGTAAAGTTCCAAGAATATCTTTAACAACAGACGGCATGATTACCGTACCATAGTGAATTGTTTTTGCACCAACTTTGGCTACCATACTGCAGTGTATTATATTCAAGGCGATAAGACAAGCAAAAAAGAGGCAACACATGAATGTGAAAAAGATAACAGAAAGTTGTTTCAATTGTGAAAAAAAAAAGTGGAATTGAATTCCTCTGATGAATTTCGCGAACAACCTCTTTAGTTTCAAAAAAAAGGAACAAAAAACGAAAATAAAAAGAAATGGAGAATACTACTTTACTCTATCAATATACCATAACACTACTCATCATGTCAATTAGGAAGAGGTATATTTTGTTATCATTCATACGAGGCTATGTATACAAAGATGTCCATCATCATATTGAGAATACTTTATGGAACATATGCCCTATTGACTTTGAAGAGAATATTTTTCTAATTTGATAGAATTATAATATCTATACAGAACTAATTATCCACAGAACATGCTTAATAAATCCTGCACAATATTGTGACAGTATAGATTTTAATATTTGTGAAAAAATTCAATATAATGCAGTATGAGTAGCCATTCGTACAGAAAATGACTTCTGACCAACTATTACGAGCAAAAAAAATAGGTACGAACTTTTGATATCTGAACAAAATCTAATGAAACCAGAAAGAGCATGTGGATTGAAATATATAGTTGAGAAACAAACATCACACAGTATGCTTTCTTCCGGTATTGCAACTAGTTTGTGGATGCATTTTAGTATCGGTAAGATTGCAAAAAATAACAAACAATTCAAAAAAAGTACAAAAGAAACAATCAAAAAAACAAACAGAAACAATTATTTTCACATTTTTAAAATAGGATGACTCTATTCCAGAATATGCTCCTACTCGATCTACTAGTCTTAGAAAATTTTCATGATATGCATACTTAAGCAAAACTTGGCATGATGATTTAAATCTATGATTGAACAAAGTTAGGTACAAATGGTGGAGGTGGCATGTTGACTTGCGGCGCAAGCATAAGCTTCTCTTCCTTCATCTGTTCTACATACAACCAACACGGTGTTACTTGATAATCCGCGGGCGGCGGTTTGTAAGTTGGCTTGTGGTAAGGCGGAGCTGCTCGCGGACCCCATCTTTTATACATTGGATCGTTTGTATCATAGGTTATTCGATCACTACCCCATAACTGTGGAGGTGGTACTACTTGTTGCGCTACTACAGTTGCCTGTTGAGCTGCTTGCTGATATACACCTAAAAGGTTGGAAACTGCATAATTATGGAATGTATATCAGATAATGTTCATGTTTACTTAATTCTTGAGAAGTATCTCATTTAACTTAAGTATTTCTAACTCAAGTATTTCGAGATTCAAGCAATAATGCGAAAAATATAACGTATTTAAGAACTGTAAAAGCTTGGAAACAGCACACTCAAAAAAACTTAACAGTTATTACTATCTCGCTGATCACCCATAACCATTTGCGCGACCTGTGCCATGTGTTTCATCATTTCCGCGACATGTGTCGGATCTAAGGCTTCTGCAATTTTAATACAATAAGAAATACTGAAATTCGGAAATTTATCAGGAAAACATAGCATAAATATATTAGCAATTTCTGATTTTCCTCTAACTTATGCCTCCAAGCATATTTGCTGAAAATCTATCACCGAAAATCGAAAAGTGAAAGGTAAATGCCAAGTCCTAAGTAAATAATAAGTTAAAACGAATAGATAGGAATTATACATAAACTATGACCGGAAATAAAGAAGTTATTGTTACCATCAACACTTTTCGATTCTGCTGTATGTATCGACACAGCTTCTTGCGAACTTGCTACCGTTGCCTGATGCATTTGCTGTTCGAGCTGCATCGCTGATTGATGATGTGCAAGATATGATTGTTGATGTTGTGCATAAGCTACTGCTTGTGCAGCTGTTTCAGCTATTCAAGGAAAAAAAAACAAATTTGAGTTTCAATAATACTTAAGAAATTAATGATTTAAATTAAATATGCAAAAACTGAGCTGTCTTATTCAAGCGATTTTTTAAATATTCATATCACCCACACATTAACAGTACTGAAATATATAGAAATCAGTTGTGAAGGAATCCAGTAGAAACTTATAGAAATCACCCTCTATTTCCGAGAAAGTTTAGGGTTCACAATCATTTGTGTAACAAAGCTGCCAATAAATTTGTCTGCTTGATATAGAGGCAAAAGTTACCTTCTAGTTGTTGCTTCTTTCGTTCCTCTTCGGCTTCTTGTTCTTTCTTCAGTTTTGCTTCAGCTGCTGCTTTCGCTTTAGCTTGTGCAGCAGCCTAAACAACATTTACAAATAAAACATGCATCTAATATTATTTAAGTACTACTGTTCTAATTGTTTTGTAACAAAATTTATATTTCCTGAAGAGATGTAACTATTCAACAATGTTGACAAAATTTTGTTGCAAACTATTGAATGTACCTATTCCATTTAAAAACTTCATCCAAATTTATTGATATATAACAAAATGTACCTGTGCTTCTTGCGCATCAATTTCTGCCTTTGCACGTATCATTTCACGCCGCTGATCAACATCTCGTTCCCAAGCTTCAAATTGTTTCACATATGCATCATAAGCTTCTGTACCCACTGAATTCCTAGAAAATAAATATTTCAATATAACAACAACTCACAATTGTCAATATGCAACAGAGTGAATTATCGATCTGCTACCTACAATATGCTTTCAATGGAAAGAAAAAAGTAGGAAATGAATTTAGAAAAACAAACATTTAATTGACAAATAACAAATATGAAAAAAGGAAATAAACTTATTTTTTCTTTCCATTAAAAGAAGGAAGCAAACTTATCCTTGCCTTTCCGGAAGATGGAAATTAACAGGATAACTACGAAGTAAACGCATACTTTGCAGTTAATCCGGTTCAATTCCATCTTTTTTCAATACATGCTACAGATTAATAAGTCAACAGAAATAATTTTGGATAATCATGTATGGTGAACGAATAAACAACGTCAAATTAAATTATGAGGATACTTTAAGAATTGCTATAGAAACAAGAAATAAATCTAAAAAGAAAAAAACAAACATTTAATTGATAAATAACAACTAAGAAAGATGGGAACAAACTTATTCTTTTCTTTCCATTGCTCAAATTGTGCTTTATAGTCTCGATATTGTTTTTCTAATTCTTCCTCTGGAGTTAGCTGCACCATATTTCTCCGTAATTGCTAAAACCAAATGAAAGTTCTGAAAAAGCGATTTATATCAATAAACTAATCTAGGATATGAATCCTGCACGTTAACAAATTCATGAAAATTCGAGAGACAAACTCCCGGTATTTGTCAACCCGCGAAATCACCTACCATTACAAAGACACGGCTCACGGCTGACTTGCTACGTTGAAATGCAACATCTCATGGATTCGCCATCATTTGAAGTTTCCGGTTTAAGACCGGAATGACCCAATGGCTGGCTGATGTAAACGAAGTGTCGATAACTTTTACTTAATAATATATATAGATAAGCTAGTAAACATAGCACAAAGGTCAAGAGATACCAAATTCTGTAAAATCTTCCAGTGCTAGGGATAAAGAAGTTTTATGAATGACAGAGTAATTCAGATTCAACACATAATAGTAAACTAGCTAAGCTTTTCTATCTTTAATGTTCATGTTCATTGTTAATTGATAACTTGACCAATAATTCGGTCACCCTGTCCACCTGTACAAACTATCTTCATCTATCAAGTAAAATTGTCCATTTCTAAATGCCAACCGAAAAAAGGGAGAAAAATTTATGTGCTACAGAAGGAAAATAAAACAATTGTATGTTATTCTATTCATTGATACTGCAAACATGAAGTTTTTGCTGCATTAATATGTCACATGTTACGACATTCGTAATTCTTATCCAAAAGATATCAGTATATAACTTTTCAAATTATCAATTTTGCATATGACAATTATGAATATGTCAATTAGTGATAAATGAAGTCAAATTGAAACTACTATAACATAGTGATAACTGTTATCACATTAAGTTTATTTTGATAGGAAGCGAGATCGAGGAGGAGTAGAACTTAAGTTAGGTAAAGTAAATCACATCGAAACTATCACGGTAATTCAAAGATAGCATAATTTTTATCATATCAAGTTTATTTTAGTGATAAGAGAAATCAGTGAGGAATGCAATTTTCGAGTATTTTATCAATGTTTTATTGAAACTTTATTTTATAAATTTCTTCCTTTTTTTTCATTCTTACAGTCTACACCTTTCTTTCTTTCCAATGACAACATTTAATGCTTCAATTCAATTGCATTCAACAATGGATGAATTAGTTTAGTATTGAATGAATAGACCGGTGGAATATCCTAGACTAGTTCCAACCGATAGTTCTCAACCAATAGTTCCCAACCGGTAATTCCCAGCAAGAACTAACAGATAGTCTATGCAAACGCTAACGAGGAGAAAACAGCGGGAATTGTTCCGATCAATGTTTGATAAACTAACGCATCAAAAGTTTTAATTAAAGTTTATTTTCCCAAATTAATGAAATTTATCATTTGTGGACTTTGTAATTCAAATAAAAAAAGCAAAGATAGTCAATTACGCTTTCAGACTATTGCGCTTTCAAATGCATAAATTGCATATCAAAATTTGACCCTAAAATTTTGCCATTTAATATTGTCATTTAATATTGACCATTCTTTCTTTTAATCTTCCAACTAATTGTGCTATTATGATTTCAGACTATTGCGCTTCCAAATAAAATTTGATTAAAATTTATCATTTTCCTTTTTGGCGCAAAATTGAATTGAATTATTTTGGAAAATATTTACTCTAGATTTAGCGTTTTCATTGCGAGCGTTATATGGTGGTGACACAGTGTGTGTGATACAGTTCATCTCTTCCAACGAGACCTATAAGTTAATTAATTGGTATATTGGGTCAGTTATTTAGTACTTGTGGTCAACTCTTCACATATATATGATCGATAGTGCATCAATCTTTTTATGCTTTACTTGAAAGGCGCTTAAATTCTATCAAAATGTGATAAAATGACGTCGAAATGTGATACAAATCGTTGTTGGATTATATTTATGAGTAATCTCGTATACAATACAGTATTATTACTTTGTTAGTCTTTTAATAGGCTAATTAGCTTAATTGAGCGCAGAGGTGTAGTATTTTTACTATAAGTATTATTCTCACTTTCTATTACTTATATATTTACATCTACTTTTCAGTCTTTCCGTTGCATTCAGTTTACCTTTTCAGTCTTTTTTTTTTCTCAGAGGAACACTTCCGGGATTTTTAAATTCGTGATTCTTCTGTTTTTCAGGTTTCTCTGTCGTTTTCTGCTAGAAATATCCTGCATAAAAGGTGAAAATAAGCCAAAATAATGGCTGATGAACGTTCTCGTCGCGGTCTGAATCCAAACGCTCAATCATTTATACCAAATCCAGCTGCTCGTCCATTTGTTCCTGGACAACCTTATGTTTTCACATCACAGCCTCCGCCAATGTACCATCATCCGCCACCGTCTATTGCCCAGGGAGCTTATCCGGTGTATCAACAGTATGGTCAAATGGGGCCAACAAATGTAGCGCAACATATGGTACCACCGTCGGTTGCTACTCCAATGTACCATCAACCGATTGCTACAACTGCTGCACCTTTGGTGGAGATTCCGTCAAGTGCACCATCTGTACATCGCTTGCCACCTTCACAACAACAAGCACCTGTTGATGGTTAGCCTGAATTAGTTTAAGTTGACCAAACTGGACAGGTAGCATTAGATTGTGCAGGAGCCATCTCTCATACTCTCTTCTTACCTTCCGACCCTCACTTCCAAAATATTTTTTAGTGGCAAAAGCTCATCAAAACTGTTTAGAACACCAGTCTTCTAATAATTTTCGTAGAAGTCAGTGTTTGAAGTTAATCGATCAAATGATTAAAAGGAAAAGGGAATGTTTATAAGGCTTGTTCATAAGTGAGCTTAAGCCATTAGTTTAACAATCAGACAGGCATGAAGCGTACTATTTTTTAATTGGTTATTGCTGAATATTTTTTATAGCTTGGGATGATGAAATAGATGAAAGGGAAGAAGTGATAGGAACAAAGGAGGGATTGGTAACGGAAGAAGTGATAAATAATGATTCTTCACCCGCAGAGGTAATTTATTTTTTCTTTCTCCGTTGTGCATCTTTGCCTTTTTGGCATTTTTTTCCATCGTTTCATCAAATCTAATTGTGAAGAAAAACGTTTTCCTCCCCTCTTTTTATTATAGAATTCCTTCACCGAGACTAGCTTAAAATATCTACTTCTTAATGATTTCATTTATTGGTGATAAAGTAGTAGTATTTTTAGAAAGAGCAGGAACCGATGAAACCTACAGATTTGGAAACCGTAAAGCCAGGAAACATCGGAAGCAAAGCAAACAATATACCGGTTACAAGGGAAACGGATGACGAAGATATAGCATTACCTGTGAAGTTGAAACAAGCTTACATCGATGGTTCGTTAGTATTTATTCGTATTAACAGGTTAATTGATTGGATCAAGACAGTGCTATAGTTGTCAGGGCTGAACAAAAAAGTCGCAAAATTTGATTCCCTTACAACATAAATTTTTCTCTTACTATATTTATAGATAGCAGTCGAAAGGAACATGTCAATATGGTTTTCATTGGGCACGTTGACGCTGGTAAATCTACGATTGGTGGACATCTAATGTATCTTACGGGAATGGTGGATAAACGTACACTGGAAAAATATGAACGAGAAGCAAAGGATAAGGGAAGAGAGTCGTGGTTTGTCCTTAATGATTAGTTATTGTTTGGGTTTTGGTGAAATTTCTTGGTTATTTATTTTTTCGATTTTATAACTTGTTCTGGATTAGGTTTTCACGGACAAGGTTTTTTTTTTGTTTTCGGTGTTAATTACTAGAGATTATTAGAGATTACCCCATCATTTATTGCGGCACCACTGACGGTAACATGACCGGATATAGCCATTCATGGATATTTTGAAAAAGATGTTTTAGTTGAATGTCTCACTTTCAACTAGGGACCACGTTATAAACGTGGTACATGCTCCAAAATTAAACTCAGTCTGTGGTGGGTCTCCAAACTCGATCTCCAAAAACATTCCATCTTTCTGTCATTTTCGGTATTTGTCGTGGGCACTGGATACGAATGATGAGGAACGTGAAAAAGGTAAAACTGTTGAGTGCGGACGCGCATTTTTTGAAACTGAGAAGAAACATTTCACAATTCTGGATGCACCTGGGCACAAGTCATTTGTTCCAAATATGATCAGTGGAGCGACACAAGCAGACCTAGCTGTACTGGTTAGTTAATACTGATAGGCTTTGTTCTTTTTTTTTTTGTGAGTGAAGAGAATAGAAGAGAAACTCAAGAAATTTGGATTTATCATATTTTATGGGGACCTTGAAATGAAACGCTCTTGATTCTTTCTGTCACTCCATCGATAGGTTTTTTTTTTTTCATTATTTTCGATGTTGAGCTGTTCGCACCCTCTTGAGATGTACATCTCTTTCATCTCAGTTGATTTACTCAATGTTCATTTCACCAAAAGAAGCATTTTTTAGGTCATCAGCGCGCGAAAAGGCGAATTTGAAACTGGTTTTGATCGAGGTGGCCAAACACGTGAACATGCAATGTTGGTCAAAACTACTGGTGTGAAATATCTTGTTGTGCTGGTAAATAAAATGGATGACCCTACTGTCAATTGGAACGAGGAAAGGTGTGCTCAGTCCCGTATTTCTAACACAAAATATTGCTTGGAAAATAGTGTTTCATATTTGTAGAACAGCGAAGAAATATGAAGGCAAGAAAACAGTGATTTTTTTTTTTAATCTTGGGAGTATAAAATTGTTTTGTTCTAGGTACAAGGAAATTCAAAACAAACTTACACCTTATTTACGGAAATGTGGTTTCAATCCAAAAACGGATATTATATACATTCCAGTTTCTGGGCTTACCGGAGCATTTCTGAAGGAGCGGCCAAGTTCTGAATTCGGTTCTTGGTACACGTAAGTTATGCCCAATTTTGTGTAATATATAAGCATTTTGAGGGCATTCGGAAGTGTATAACTAGTAAATGTTGTAAATTTTTCCATGCGTAATGTTTTTGTAAGATTCTTGTCTCAAGTGGTAGTTTTGTGGTTTTGATATTAAAAACTATTTTCTATGCGTAACTGTTGTACTATTGGTGTAAGCTGAAATTTTATAAATTTTGAAAATCGTTGTCTGAGATGTTGATGATTACAGTGGCCCATGCTTCATTGAGTATATTGACACCATGTTACCGTCAATTAGTCGTGATTATGAAGGACCAGTACGCGTTATTATTGCCGATAAATACAGTGTAAGTTGTCGTTGCTCATTATTCATCTTCAATTCGTTAATTAGGATTCTTTTTTCGATATTGAAACCGAGTGTATTTTGTGGGGCATTTATTATTTCAGGATATGGGTACCATAATTCTCGGAAAAATGGAATCAGGTGTTGTAGTTAAAGGCCAAACGTTAACAGTTATGCCAAATAGGGTTAGTTTATTTGACGGGATTGATATTGTGTTTCATTTGTAACGTTCAAGTTAATGGTGCATTTTCATAAGTTGAAAAAAGGAAGTTCGAGAGATTACATAATTAGCTATCGGTGAAAACTTTTAGACGAGCATTCAAGTAATTCAACTGTGGTCAGATGATGTGGAAGTTGATAAAGTGGTTTCTGGTGATAATGTAAAACTGAAGTTGAAGGGGATTGAGGATAACGACATTTTGCCTGGTTTTGTGTTATGTTCTCCGGATGCACTATGTCATGTCGGGAGAGTTTTTGATGCTGAAGTAAGACTTTTTTTTTCACTGTGTGTCACAAATTCTGTAGGTTTCTTCGGCAATGGATTTTCTCAGGATCTTTGAACTGTTTTTCTTTCTTCTTAAGAGAAGTATGCGTTAGTGTCACCACTGAAATGGTGGTACTTCCCTTGTTTTTTAGGTGGTTATTCTGGATCATAAATCAATAATCGCGTCTGGTTATTCTTGTGTGCTACATATCCAATCAGCAACCGAAGAAGTTATCGTGAAGGTTTGTTTTATCAGCACAACCCTTGAAACTAATTGAAGATTTTGATGCTAAGTATAACTGTGAACACTTTGTGGTATGCAACAGAACATTTAAAATTTATTTTATGATAGGTCACTGAAAACCTTGCAATGTTAACTTCTTTGTAAAATGACCATATAAAGCTATATTTATCATATATGAACGTGCTTACGTCATTTGGTGGGCTCTGAAATGAACGGACATTTAGATTCCTGAAAGTCTAGATTGTGTCTGTTGAAAAGTATACCTTTTAAATGAGAGAGTCATTTTCTTAACTATTTATTCAGAAGGTGTATATTATGCTTCTCGAGAAAAATTGCTACAGCTATTTATGCATTTTTTTTTCTGGTAATCCTCTTATTTGTAGGCAGTAATTTGTACAATCGACAAGAAAACAGGAAGTAAGGTGAGAGCACGATTCGTAAAGCAAGATGAAAAGTGTATAATGCGGCTGGAAAGTTCGGAATCATTTTGTCTTGAAGCATTCAAGAACTTCCCACAAATGGGACGTTTTACACTACGTGATGAAGGCAAAACAATAGCTATTGGCAAGGTACTGAAGGTTGTGGAATGATCGTGCAATGACGTTTAATGCATTCATTTCGGTTTTCAGTGTCGATTTATTTATCTGCATATGATGAGAGAGCTCTTAGGATTATTTTTCGTTTTCGATCTTCAATACATTGACAGTAACCAAAGACCTTGTTAGAGGAGGTAATGTTTCAGTTTGGCTATCGATTCCTCACTTTCATAGTATATCCAAGCATCCCTCTCCTATTTCGAGACGATGAGTTAAGCATATGGAAAGCTCATGTTTTGTGAACCCTGGAGTACTTCTCAGTTATCAACAGTCTTATTAAGTCTATTCCTACTAACTCTATGTAAGATATTGAGCTAAAGAAAGTTATTTAATCCTCCAGCTCTTTCATCCTGGTCTTGTCATATTTCTTGAAATATGTAAGCAAGTTGTTAAATTAAATTGGCCTCACTTGCAAATCTGTAAATTCTTAATGATTTCCGTGGATTCATTAGTCTTTACAATATATCTTCCAAAATACAAGAGAGCAATATGAATTAATCATATGGCCTTGAAAAGAACTGTACTGCTTTTTATCGCTTTAAATCGATGAGTGAAGGAGATCATTAAATAATTTCAGTCGGTCGAACACCGATAACAATCAGAACTTTTAAGAACAAATGCTCTCATAGTTAATAAATTGTCGATGAAAACGAGGAGATTTAAATAACATTTCCTCACCAATTGTTAATTGTTCATTTCGTTATTCTATTTTCCTTTACAAACTTATACGAATGAAATTTCTTTCGCATTAAAGAGATTGTATGGAGAAAAAAATTTATTCAGATGTGTGCAGGGAGCCTTACACTGGCTTGTAAATGAAAGGAGGAGGATAAACTTTGCAAGTGCACTTGGATATTTATAGGCTCCCTTGTCAAGTGGACATGAGTTCGTAGCTCCACATCACGCTGTACGAAGTGTGAATTGGAAGGCCGGCCAAACTATGAGTGAAAAGGCAGATACATCATATGTGTCTTGATAGCAATATATCAGGAATACTAAACGAAACAAATCTACACAGAAAGTTTGCGGAGATTGTAAGGTTAAGCTTCAGCAATAGATGATGAAGCCTCGGAATTGTCAACCTTCTCAGCTTCTGGTCCTTTCTTTTTTTTCGTTCGTTTTTCGACCTTGAAAAATGAGTGGTAAATAGTTGCTGGAGTTGTAGGGGGAACAAGTTTTAAAATTTGAATACGAAGAGAGCAGAGCCACTCACTTTTTCGATCTCTTTTTCTGTTGGGATCGGCAAAAATGGGTTGACATCAAGAGCAAAATGAGCATCACCAGGTATAACCATGAGCAATGCACGGTTGATGAATGGCCCTAAAAAGAACAAAGAGCTGATATAAACGGAAGATATGAATGGTGCAGCTGCGGAATTATCACTGTTCTTGAAAGATGAGATTAAATGGATAATTATTGTAAAAATAAGCAATGTAATAATGGTATGAATCGAAGTTAACTGATATTCATATGTATTTTGACGATTTTACCTAACTGCAACTCTTTTCAAATGAAAAGTGTTGAAGAATTACAATCAAATTGGAAATATCACTCAGAGTAATAAAGTGTTTGCTTACCTAGAGCAGGATTTCGATGTTTACATAAAGCCTCAATAACAGCTACAATGTTTGCTTCCAATTCGTTATCATCCATTGATAACTGAAATTGATAAAGTGATTCTATCTTCCACTGGAAGTTTGTAATTTGGATATGTCAAAGTTGAGTTAGCGCATCTAATACTTTCATTTCATTATTGTTTTTAATGTTATCATCAATGGATATCACTTAAAATTGCTTTAAAGTTCAGTAGTGCGAAACAAATACGTTTTATAGGCATTTCAACTTACCCGTCCTATGACAGTATCACAAAGACCCCAAATAGGCATGATTGGATCACCTCGAATCGCTAATTTTACACCATTCTTGAATTTGTCAATGATTTCTTGAAAGTTATCACCAAGACCACCTGAGGAAAGACGTTCTGTATAGTATTATTCAAGAGAAAAAGTTATATCATATCAGGTGAAATGATGAATAAAGTTATCAATTGTCAGAAATTATCTGAACGCTCTGAATTAAATAACAAGAATGTATTTACCTTTCTCAATAAAAAAACTAGAACTGATAAAAATGAAAATGATTTTAGTTTTAGCCTTTTGATTAACAGCTAGGACAATGTTATCTTCAAACATACCATTGATTTTATTTGGAAAACGTGATCTCAAAATCCCTCGTAAGGGAAGAATACTGGAAGCCATGTCAGTGTGTGCAACGCAGAAGTCATAATCATCAATTCGGAACATTCCTTTAATAATCTGAAATCCATCAGTTTCGGAACAAACAAATTTGAAACAAACTTGAAGATATATATTCAGGAAAATTTTCTTCTCAATAGTTATACGGAAGACATAAATGTAAGCCAATTTTTTCTTCAGAAATTACGGTGCTCTTCCTGATTTATTATAGTTTAATTCAACTCTACTTTCTCGCGAAAGCTTTTTGTATTAAGTTTCTACTCTACCTTTTTTATTAAATCTCTTACCCTTTGACATGGATAAATCTTGTGTCCTAGACTATAATCCAGTGAGCAAGAATACCATATACACATGCTCGATCTGTACCGCAAATAGTGCCGTTTTCTTTCATAAATTATAACGGATACCGCTAGTAGACAAATAAGTAAATGCGTAAGAACAAAATTTGAATCCAAATTTTCCGTGCTTTTAATTTTTAACCAACGACCTCAGGTTACAATAATTCAACCAGTAAAAATTATTCTTTTCTGTTAATCCTATAGCAACTGCAGTTATATTTTTATTATCAAACCTTTTTGATCACATCAGGACCTAGTGCGATTTCAGCACCGGCCTCAACGGCCATATCCCGATTATGTTGCTCATATGCAAATGCCAATATTGTTCTTTTCTCGTTATGCTTGAATGGATAGGGAATTGGTACCAACTCTTCGGAATCGGCAACCATTTTAGTCTTGAAAAGAAAAATTTTAAATCCTGCTCGGAATGAGAAAAGACGATACAATTATATAAAATATATTTAAAATGAACCTTCTTTTCCGTTGTCATATTCAGTTCCATTCGTAAACGAACGCGCGCATTCGGATTGTTGTAAATAGATGGTTGTTGCATTTCCCTATAAATTTATCAGAAAACTAATTTCTGAAAGATAATATGTATTATGAATATTTTATTTAAACAACTATAAAGTTATGCTCCAGAAAAGCTAATATATCAGGACCATGGAAAAACAAACACAGCAAAACAAGCAATCCTCAGTAACCGCATAAACCTAATTCATCAAAGGAAATAAGTCAATTAAAGGTGATAATGTCTTCAATCTCTCAATTCTAATTACCTCATAATGACATGAAAGTTTTTATTTAAATTGTGGACAGCTTATAAAATCTAGGCATTAGTAATCGTAATGATGAAAAAGTGGCTCTAAGGCTCTAATTAATTAATTAATTGTGATTAATATAAACTAATAAAATTATTCCCCAACCTATGCATTCGTAATGCTTCTGAAACTGAGTAATACTGAGTTTTGTAGGCACTTCGAATGAAAACATTTGTGGTTGGCTTATCCGGCAAATGTGCTTCTTTCGCTGGATTGAAGCGACCAGGAAATTGTTCCGAAATAGAGGTCCTGAGAAGAATAATCAAGCATAGCTTTTCCATAACATCACTTAACTCTCTTCTATTCGGATTCAATTCATTTTCCAAGAAAGCCGAAAAAAAAGAGAAAACTTCACATTTGTTTCATCCGTGAGATTTGAATTCTTTGCATGAAGGTGTACTTTTTCCGTTCTGCTTCTTTTGCTTCTCGTTTCAACCGCCTTTCCTGACGTTCTTGCTTGGTAAGAGCGCGTTTCAGGTTACGCTTGCGTCCTATAAAGTAGAAAACAAAGAGTTGTCGAAGTCATAACAATTAACGCACGAATTAATTATTTATGATCGTAACTAAACGTTATAACTTGAGAACTATCCGCACTAATTTTCCAAATCATTCATTAAGAATAGAACAATGTGATAAGGTTATAAGAAAGAGATGACGTAAAACTTGATCGAAGTATATGCGTCATTTTAAAAGAAGGAAATCAGAAAATTCTTTAAAGAAGTTCAAAGCCAGAATGATATAATATAGTGGAATTAAACAAAAAAAAAATCCTACAGGATATAAGTCTAAGGATTGCTTTATAAGTCTAAGAAATGCTTTTAACGTCAAAAAAAAATTTTTTTTCATTTCATCAGATCATCCAAAACAGTTCTTTCATTCTTTCATTTCGTTAGATCATTTAAAACTCCAGTAATTCACTTCTTACCACGATATTGTTGTGAGTTATAAATCGATGGAAGTAGTAAGCCAAATTCTGAACGTCCCATTGTTGCTTTATTACTATTACATGCAACCCATATCATTCCATTACATATCGATGAAAGCATAGCTTAACACAATAGCACACCTGGAATTATCATCGTGAAATAATTAATTTAAACATTTTTCGATCAGACCCTACTTCATTCTACTCCCTTTTACTTTGTGCAAACAAGAGAAGCGCTATCACAAAATAATAATTTGTTGATTAGGCAAAATAATGACGGCTAATATTAATCGTGAAATAACCCAAAATAGATTATACAGTCTCAGGAATAGAAAACAAAATAACTCTAGAATTTTCTCCCTCTCCCTCTCTCTCTCTCTCTCATCCTTTTCCGGAAATAATTAGTGCAAATAGAACTCATCCATACTTCCACTTAGTATTATTTCCTTTAAAAAAAGACTTTTTCGATGGAACTAGAAAATCCTTTTAGGATTCAGTTGAATTTAAATAATTTGGGATGGCAGGAATCTACCTCAAATAATTTGGAATGGTAGGAATCTAGCATAAAATTTAAGCTTATTTCTTATTTTTCTAATATTTCCATGCTTAGCGACCATTTTATAAGTCATATTCATCGATACTGCAACATAACACGCATCCCAAATATCTGCATTTTAGGGATTGATATCCGAGAAGCTCAAAGCTTGATTAATAACAATCGATAGTGCTTTAGAACCATAAGTCTGTTTCTTTTTTTTCTTGCCAGAAAATCATTTCGTTCAAATACTTTATTAATCGAAATGATCAATGATATCAATAAAACATCCACAGTTTACAACAAAAAAACAAGAAATGATTAAAATGTAACTAGTTTTCTGTTACGGAAAGGTATTACCCGTCACAAAACGGTCTATCCTTAATTTAAGTACCAATTACAATTACAGTATTAAAGACTAAAGCATTCGTCATACTTAAGAGGGAAAGTCATTCCTTTTTCAATCCTGTTGCATGTGAGATTTAAATTCTTCCGTGAATTTTTGAAGTATCAATCTTTTCAGTTCAAAAATTCTAAAATTACTTAGAAACATCCTATTCATAAATTATACTCTGTTTTTGCTCCTTCACTCTTACAATTCCTATCAGTAAGATAAGTTAGTCATTTCTTCATCCTCCTTCCGATACAGCCTGATATCTAACAAACATCTGTAATTTGCATAATAAATTGAAACAAAAATCAGCTGAAATGTAATAATAAGTAAAATGGACAAAAGTGACAAAGAATTATTAGCAGCATATCACTTTCAACAAGCAATAAACAGAAGAACTTGCAAGATAGAATTACATGAACTGGTTGTGACTCAAATCATTTGTCTGGAAAGAAAACTAGTAGGAAAAAAAACCATATGCCACAATTTAGGGTAGTATAAGGTGTAGATAAGGTCATGAATTGATGTCTACATCTCTGCACATCAGTTTTCAGGAAAAATATATCCTTCAAATCTCCACATTACAATTCTCATCTATTCCATTATTTATGTGATAATTTGAATGATAGATTTCAATACATTATCAACCTAACATAAGTCAAAGAAAAAAAAACACGGAGATTTGTAAAAAGTAATTTGTGGGAATTTGGAAAAGAAGGCAAAGTCTATAAATTATTGAAACCAGAGCTGAATTTACAATTAAATTTGGCATATCTTTTTTTTCATGATGCGAATATCAAATCTTATTATCATAGAATAGTTCACTTCGAAGCACAATATAGTAAACAATGAATTCTAAGAATGCAATATTCAAATGCATTACGATGAATGAAAAAGCACGAAATGGTACTTTCCAAAACGAAAATGCCCTAAATTTTTAAATAAATGTCAAATTCAAGGCGTATAATCAATCATAAAACAGTTCGAGAACAATAACAACACTGGCAGGATGAATTATGCGTAAGTTGCGTGAGGAATGTGGATCCAAATCCGTTGCAATTTTGTTGGAAGATGGTTGAAGCAATAAGGTGTTATTTAATTTCAAAAGTGAAACACTGGTAATTTAGGTTACCGGATACTTTCAAATATTTCAAGACAATAATGAAATTCATGCCTGACATGCATTAAGCATGTGAAGTTGCGTGAGTCTAGTTTAAATTGAAACTAATCGAATGTTAATCTGAAAGATCCTAATCAATCACATACCTTCTAGGTTCGTTTTATCCGGAAAAATTTGGGTACTACAAATTCAAGCAAATAGCTCAGTTTCTCAAATTAATCTAAACTAAAATGGAAAAGAACTCACCGAGAAACATCATCAAAATCCATTCTGCAATATGCGCTAACTTGAATCACAATTAAATAAGAAATTCGGAAAGCAAATATTTTCGTCTTAAAAGCTCAATAATCACCAAGGAATAAAAAGAAAAGTTATAGCTCTTTGTTTTGAAATGACAACAAAGAGGGAGAACTGCTAGGATGAAAGATGAGATACACTGAAAGAAAAACGAATATATTGCCTTGAATCAAAGGAAAACCCGAGAAAATTGCATTCGTTTCTTTTTGATTAAAATAAATCTAAAGAATAAAAGGTAAAGTCTAGAACAGCTGTTATCAGCAAAAACGAAAGCAATGTTATCATGTGGTATGTCATGTGTTTTGACTGTATCAGATTATGAGTGAATAAAAGAAACCTAAACAATATTGGGAAAAGGCGAAGATCCATTAAGGATTAGTGGGTGAATCGCCAACCAATACATTCTTTTCATTACCACCATGTAAGCCTTGGAAATCTTGATAAAAGTACCTTGCTGTCCTTCTCTTTTACCAAATCTTTCTCTCTCCTTCATCCAAAACTTAATTCTTTTTTTTTGAGTCTATTATTTCCGTATCAAAACACATGGAAATTTGTGTCATCACTAGGATTCCATGTTATTCTTCCTTCGTATTGCTAACTTAAAGTATTTAAGATTAATTTACCCGTTTCAAGTAGCAAGAAGTGTAGTAAAACAAAAAAAATATGAGGTTTCTCAGGACTTTCAGTGGGTGGGGATGAGAGAGCATATAGTATGCAAAATTCAGCAGTGCAACCACCGATAAATGTTTCTTAAATTCCAAGATATCTGCTACGGAATACCGTGAATCTAAATGTCAACAATTCACCAACTAGATTACTTTAAAAAAAAGTAACTTGATGGATGATAGTGAATCCTTTCCGAATGAACAATATAAAATCCTGCCCGTATTTGATCATCGTATCACCGGAAGGTGGGTTACATCGAATGATCGTATAAACCTGATTAACATCTAAATTCCCACAACTGCATCACTTGCAAAAGCACCAGATCACCTGGGATGATCAGTAAGCTAATTTCTAATTAAAAAGATGTAAATTAATAAAAAAGCAATAATGGCAACAAAGTAAGTAATTCAACGAAGTGTAATAATGAATGACTGGAAAGAAGAAAGAGAAGAGAAGTAATTTACAGCACTGTACAACATCCCTGATTCTGTTTGACACGCGCATTTTGAACATAATTCATTTCGCGTACAATTTCGGCAAATACAGTATTCACGTTATGTGCACTCTTTGCTGAGCATTCCGTGAATGGACATGACCAGTATTCTGCCAACCCAAGACCATCTTCTGTTCGCACCTAGAAAGCAAACGGAATCGGAAAATGAGGAAACGTAGCAAATATAAGATAAAAAACAATTTTATATCATTCAAATATAATTCTGGTTAAAACAAAGGAACATACAAAAACCAATAAACTCTCATGAGGAAGTTCATACATTGAACTCAAGAAAAAATTCGTGGGTACGTTGTCCAGCATTTGACAACACCACTTACCGGCATTTCAAGTTAATGCTTCAATTTATGGAAGATATTTACCTGTCGTTGATGAATTAGGTCACACTTGTTACCAACCAATAAGATAGGCACTTGATCGGTACCCTAAAACTAATTTCTCAAATCATTTCGTCCATTATTTATTATTCCGTTGCTTTTTCTATATTATGTTATGGATGATGCATAAGTGGTTTATCCCTCCAATAAGTTCATCATTTCAAAACGATTTTCTTTTAAATCATATCCTATTGAATTCAGAGTAGCAGTAATTTATGAATGTCGAAGAAATTTGAACAATGGCTGGATTCAGCTAGAAAAACTTCCCAGGATCATTGACTAGCGCCAATTCATATTTTGGTCTTCTAATTAGTTTAAAGATTCACCTTAACCCTAACAATCTGTTCACGCATTGTTTTGATGTCGTGAAATGTTTGTTGACTCGTTATTGAGTAAACCACCACAAAACCTTGCCCATTTTTGATATATAGGTCACGCATCGATGCAAACTGTTCTGTGCCCGCAGTGTCCAAAATTTCCAGCACGCATGGCTGACCATCTACCTGGAACTCTCATTTTTCATGATTAACTAAGCATTATTGATTTTGCATCGATGAACCTGCACGGAGTATCATCCAGCACGGTAGCATCGGAACCCAGCACGGTCATCCGGTAAAATATGAATTGCTCAAAAATCACGTTGCATTTCAATAGCCATTATATTTATTTTGAATAATGAAAAGCTTCCTTTTAGCTCACAACAATTAGTGAAATAGTTTAATTTCGTTTGTGAGTGATGGGAAATTCATTTAATTATCCATAAAAAAGTAATACTAAGGTAACAGCATTAAATATCATGAAAATTTTTGAGAATCTTAAATTACGAATTCCGTTCCTTGATTTTAAAAATGTTGCATCTTCCAGAGATCGGGATAAACCCTTTAGTGCAATGCAAAGATCATGGAAAATGTCAACATTTAACTTTTTTCGACCTCTATTTTTTCCTTATTTTTTCTAAATTAAAGAAAACATTGAATAAACCTCAATTTCTTTCCGATAAAAATCTTCAATCGTCGGGTCATATTTTTCGATAAATGTATTCGAAACGAACTGAACTGTTAGAGCTGATTTACCAACACCACCACTTCCGAGTACCACTACCTGACAAAGTTGTTTTCCCCATAATATACCATTATAATGTTATTGCTGTATACTATTTTATAACTTATAAAATGTTGTCTCTAAAACCACTGAAATGAATCATTGTTACGATGGTACTGATAGCTAATTCAACCGTTTCATACAATACCTTTATCTATGACAAGTTTTGTTATTTCTTTTCAATTTTAATTTGAAATTGTTGATAAAACTTGAGATGGTCCAGAAATTGTCACCTTGAACTCGCGCATACTCCGGTAGGATGGCGAAACAGGATGGGATAGATCTCATTCAATGTGGCTCGACAAATATTTGTCTCTGCAATTGTCACATAAGTTATTAAAATAATGTAAAAGAAAAAATTTACAATTACCTTTAAAAGTACGCCAAACAGCTTGAAATGAAGTACTTTAAACAAATACATTAATACAATTTTTGAAGAAAAAAAGAACATATTCTACAGATATATCATTTTGGTACAATCACTTTAATAAAGTAATGAAAAAAAAAATTAGTTAGTTCAGGGGAGAGAAAGGGAGAAGTAAGGGAAGATAATGAAAATATAACGCAATAAAAGTGATCAGAGCTGATGGGTCATTTTCATCTCAAACGATGGGGTTACTTCGATAAGAAACAACTGCTTCACTGTTCATTGATAAATATAATACCAATTGATTTCACTCACTCTCTCTCTCTCTCTCTCTCTCTCTACAAAAGAAAAAACTAATGACGATACTGGATACTCGACAT